GCTCTTTTCAAGTCTTTGGAGCATTATTAAACGATCCTACTATTGATTTTCTGTGCTTAGTTCTGGTGAAAATGGAGTGACTCGCAGCACTAATGACTGAAGCCCACTCACCGTCTAAAGGACAGGTACAAAGGCAGAGAAGTACTTGGAGTTCATCCCTACAACCATTCTCATAACTCAGATCGCAGTGCCCGGAAATAGGACAGGTGGGAATAAGACTCGGATTCAACTCATCTCTCTTACTTAAATACAGCACTGCTGCTGTTCTGTTACTTATCTTGTGAAATTTTATATGTATTGGTATATTTTGCTCTTCAGCATGAAGCTGCATGCTTCATTTCCACCTTTGAAATCCAAATTCCCAAGTAATCATTTTTAGGAAGGCATTCCTCTATTTTCAGCTTCATTCTCCATGGACCATTTGTTTGTGCTGTTGAGCCATTGAGTAACCAGAGGTTACAGTAAGAATTCGTCATGCCAGTTTCCATCTCAAAAAGAAAAGCCTTCAAGACAAACAAACCATTTTTTTAAATGGGTAACAGAAATGAACAGGCATTTCACTTAAGAGGAAAAGAATAGCCTCATAAATTCAACCTCATAAATAATCAGGAAAATGCAAATTAAAGCCACAATGAGACAACCATTTCACACTCCATCAGATTAGCAAAAATTTGTAGTCTGACAATACTAAGTGTTGATGAGGATGCAAAACTACAAAAATTCTAACACAAACGGGGGGGGGGGGGAGGCAGGGATCTGGGTGAAGCATCTTGAAAATCAACTTGTGTTAGCTAGAAAAACTGGTGTGCACAACCTACATCCCAGGTACTCTGTTCACAGGACACACACATATAATGCAACACATGTCAGGTGATATTAAATTAGTGCTAATTTTCTTAAGTGTAATAACTCTGGAATGTTTCACAGTGAAATGTTAAGATGTCTACAATTTTAAAATGGTTCAGCAAAAAAAGAAAAACACAGGGAGGGAGGAACAATGAAAAAGCAAATGTGATAAAACGTTTTTAAAAAAGGCTGGGCAGGCTCTGGGGTAGAGCCTACAAGTTTGAATCATGGATATGCCAAATATTGATTGCAATCTGGATTATACACGCAAACTCTCTTACTTCAACATGATCATCTGTAAAGTGGGAGCAACCACGGTGTGTACTTGATAGAGATGTGAGCATTAGAGTAATTCAAATAAATACTTAGAGCTGTCACTGCTTTGCCGTAAGTTTTCAGTAACTGATTATTACCTCTGTGAGCTCCATTCTGCAGATACCGTAAGTGGAGACTCAGAAGGGTGAACTAACTTGTTCGGTCACATAACCAGCTGCTGGTGGGTGGAGCTGGAAGAGCAAGAGCTGCAGGGACGCTTCCCCATGAATCAGCAGAGGCACACACCCAGCTATGCATGTGCCCAGCTATGCACACACCCGGCTATGCACAGCCATGCACACATCCAGCTATGCACACACACAGCCATGCACACACAGCTATGCGCACATCCAGCCATGTACACAGCCATGTGCACACCCAGCTATGCACATATCCAGCTATACACACACAGCTATGTGCACACCCAGCTATGCACATATCCAGCTATACACACACAGCTATGTGTACACCTTGCTATGCACACCCAGCCCTGCACACAGCCACTCACACAGCCATGCTCACACACAGCTATGCACACATAGCCATGTGCACACCCAGCCACGCACACATCCAGCTATGCACACATAAAAAGAGCCATGTGCAGACACAGCTATAAGTACACGAAGTGTTTGTAAAACACGACACTTGAGACTACGTAAATGCTCATCTGCTGTAGAGCAGATAACTAAATTGTGTTATGTTTCTGTAACAGAATGCTACACAGCTAGGAAAAGAAATAAAATGCGTTAACATGAAACATATAAAATTAAATTAAAGGTTTTTATTTTATCCTGAAAGATTTTAGCTGCTCCAGAAACAAAAGGACAGAAGTAAGCCACTAAAACTACCATGAGGAAGAGGAATCAAAAGAGTTACAATTTAAAGCACACTGGACTCCCACACTTTCTGTAGGGACAAGGACTCACTATCTAGATGCTTAACAGGTGAATAGTTATGAAACACAGACACTCCTATGGTGAACTAATTCGCAGTCACTAGACTAGTGTTTTTAAGGGACTCTTCAGTGGCACAGTGAAAGGCTCACTACAAGATGTAAACTTTTAAAACACAGGCTCTCTAAGCGCTACGGTTTGAATATGTGTGCCCCTGAACTCAGGTCAGAGTGTAAATCCCAAAGTAATAAATTAACGGTATTAAGAGGGGAGAGCCTTCGTCTAACCGTGGTGTTTGAGGTGGGGCCTTCTTAGGAAGGGATCAGATCAGGGCTCCAGAGTGGAGGCCACATGATCGAATCCTGGTGGCTTTGTAAGAAGAGGGACTGAGACCAGACATGGAAAGATAAGTGTTCCTGCCATGCCATTATGCAGCCAAGGGACACTCTGGCCAAACCCTGAGTCCAGCTGTTTGGATTTTGACTCTCCATAACCACGAGACAAACAAACCTCTTTTTTTAAAATACGGTGAGCTGGAGCTGATGCTATGGCGCAACAAGTTAAAGCCCTGGCCTGAAGCACCGGCATCCCATATGGGCGTTGGTTCTAGTCCCAGCTGCTCCTCTTCTGATCCAGCTCTCTGCTACACCCTGGGAAACCAGCAGAAGATGGCCCAAGTCCTTGCGTCCCTTGTATGCACGTGGGAGACCTGGAAGAAGCTCCGGGCTCCTGGCTTCGGATCGGCGCAGCTCCAGCCATTGTGGCCATCTAGGGAGTGAACCAGCAGATGGAAGACCTCTCTCTCTCTCTCTCTCTCAGCAGAAGATGGCCCAAGTCCTTGCGTCCCTTGTATGCACGTGGGAGACCTGGAAGAAGCTCCGGGCTCCTGGCTTCGGATCGGCGCAGCTCCAGCCATTGTGGCCATCTAGGGAGTGAACCAGCAGATGGAAGACCTCTCTCTCTCTCTCTCTCTCTCTCTCCCTCTCTCCCTCTCTCTGTAACTCTTTCACATAAACTAAAATAAATCTTTAAAAAAAATACGATTAACCTATCTCGGACATTTCCTTATAGTAATGAAAAGCTGACCAGTACAGAAAGGTTTAAATCTGAGTGTAAATACATACAGTATGTGCTCATACATACATACATGTATGTATAATACATACATAATAATGCATCTATTTGTATAGGCACAGACTGCATAGAATAGATGTGCACACTAACATCTTTATATGTACATAAATACATATATGGTAACTGTACTTACATACATATATGCTCATGTATCACAGAAGAATAAATGTGGATGCATATATACCAACACATAATTTTTTTTAAGTTAAAAGTGGGTTTTTCTTGCTGGAAATACGTGGAATGATTTCTTTTCCTTTCCCCCTCCTCTCATCTGTAACCCGTATTTTCTCATATTTCTATAGCGAAAATGTGAAGCTGGTGGCTCTGGAGAGCAGTCTGGCAGCATCTAATAAAGCTGCAGATTTTATACTTAAAATTCCGAAACATTCCTGCTCCTGGGTGAAAGTCTTCACATGAGCACCATGAGACACATCCAAGAAGGTTCACACCAACCTTGTTTATGATAGAGAAAACGCAGAAACAGCTCCCACCCATCAAGAAAAGCGTGGCTGTCCAGGCACCTGCCGTAGCAGCAGCAGTTAGAGGGAGGGGCCAAGTCACTGTAGTCACTGTGGCTACACCACAGTCTCGCAGGGAAGCGGGAAGGCTCTGTCCACTGCAGAAATCTAAGGGCAGCTGCCATCACTTCTACAGACTAGCAACAGGAAAAATGACACTACACAGTGTAGTGTGTACACACACACGTAGTAAGAATCTTCTCCATGTGTGGTTATGATAAATCCCATAGTATAGCAGAGCTACACTCACCTGTGGAATGAAGAGGGAAATGGGATCAGCAAATGGGATGCACGGGGTGCTGGGGTGTTCCCCTACACCTGTAACGTTTCATCTCTGGGGCTGGGGAGTGCAGCAGAGCTGCTTATTATACAATTCTCTGTAGGGCTTTTTTTATATGCCTAAAATGTTTCCTAATAAAATAGCAGTACTCACAAAATGAAATAAAAATTCATAAAAAGGGTGTATCTAGATACGTAATCAATTGAAGCTACAATCATGAACTTTTGGAATAATTTTTAAAAATATTTTCGCATTTTTATCTCTGGCAAAAAAGTGGATTTCCGAACTAGACCACTTAATTTCTGCGAAACAGAAAACTACTTTAATGAGAATATTTAATTATAATTATTACTCAAATTTTTTAAAAGCCCAAACTATCTGCATTGGAGAGAAAATGAAGGCACATCCTCCCTTCGCTTTAAAAACACATATTTAAAAACCGGAGGCGGGCAGGGCAAAGCGCTGAAGCTGAGAACCGTGGGAGTCATTTTAGTCTCTCAACGTTATCCTACAGGTAGGAGCAGCCCGGGTGCCGGCCTGTGGCTCCTCCGGGGCTAAGTTCACGCGCCGAGGGGACTGACCGAGGGGACTGACGGACTCTGACAGGACAGCGCGGGGAGCAGGCCGGGCCCCGCCGGGAGAGGTGAGGGGCGCCCCGGCCCCACAGCGGGGCTCGCGCCAGGCGGCCCCCAGCTCAGCACGGGAGGGAAGCGGCCGCTCGGCCTGGGAGGCCGCGGGCTCTGGGGACGCTCGCGTCCCTTCCGTGGCCGCACGTTCCGGTTTAGGAAAATGTAGACCTTCCAGGCTCTGACCACTGCACCGCGGCAGTTCCGGCCTGAGGGGCAACGTGGGCGTGCAGGGGCGGAAGACGACGGGGCACCAGGCCCGACACGGGCCCTGAGCTCGGCGGGCTGCCGACTAGCGCACCGGGGCCTTCCTGGGTCTCACGCTGCACACCCCCTGACGGACAACTTGTTTACCCGCTGCACGCCCTGGGCGAGCCACGCGGCCCACCTCCTTCTAGACGATTCCTCCACCGAGCGCCGCGGGGCGGGAGGAGGCTGCGCGGGGCGGGGCGCCGGGTGCGCGGGGCGGGGCGCCGGGTGCGCGGGGCGGGGCGATGGCCGCGAGGGGCGGGGCGACGGCTGCGAAGGGCGGGGCGCCGGCCGCGAGGGGCGGGGCACCGGTGTCTCCCTCGCGGCCGGTTGCTCCACCTCACCTCGCCCCACCCGGAGCCGCCTTCCGGCGGGAGCCGGCGCTAAGGACGGGAGAAACTGGTTCATGTGTCAGCCACCCGAGGGCTTGGCCGCCACGGCTGTGTCAGACGGGGACGAGCCTGTGAAAACACCAGCATGTGCCGCCGCGTCCACAGGACCTTCCTGCGTGTGTGATAAGGCGCTCTGAGGAAAAGGTGACTTCCAGTCCCGACACGCACACATGCACATGGCCGGTACACATGCCCACACACATGCACACACATGTGAAGAGACCCTCTGAGGAACACGTGACTTCCATAGCCGACACACACATGCACATGGCGGGCTACACATGCACACACGTGTAAAGAGGCCCTCTGAGGAATAGGGGACTTCCAGTCCCGACACATGCACGCCTGCACATGGCGGGTTACACACGCTCACACACATGCACACACGCGTGATGAGGTGCTCTGAGGAATAGGTGACTTCCAGTCCCCCTCACGCACACACATGCACATGGCAGGTTAAACACATGCACACTGGTTACACATGTGTGTAATGGAACAGGTGACTTCCAGTCCCCCTCACACACGCGCACACACACGCACGTGTAGTAAGGACCTCTGAGGAACAGGCTGTTTCCGGTCCCGACACACACAGCGGGTCAGTGGGATTAGCTAAAGGGCGCCCCACCTTCCCGTGACGAGTGCTTGATGGCTGAATTCAGCTGGAAGAAACTCCCCCAAGGCAGCCTAGACCCTCCCGAGGGAGAAGGGAGAGACCTCTGGGACCCCTGGGAGGACACAGGAGGCCACGTCCACTTCCCTTCTGGCTGGGCGGGAAGTCACTCCTTCCTTTTGGCCTGGCTTTGCCTGTGGCTTTCAAGGCTGCATCTGACACCAAAGACCACCGCGCTCAGAATCTGAGTTTGAGAGCTAAGGCACCTGCTGCGACAAAGCACCCTGCTAGCACTTGCCCCAAAATTAGCTCGCTGGATCCTCCCCGGGCTCCGTGGGGCTGTGTGCGCGGGAAGGGCTTGTGTGAGTGACGCTCTCCAAGCTCCCATACTCTGTAAAAGAGAGCAGGCTTCACCCCTGACCCACTATTTTTCTCCCCCACCGTTTCCCTAGGGCCCTTTCTCCCTTCCTCCTCCTCCTGCTTTTCTCTCCCGGGTCTTGCTGCCCCGTCCTTGACACGGGTCACTCTTCTCTAGATTCTGGAAGGCCGGCGAGGGGAGAGGATGAAAGGCCTGCACGCAGGGGAAGTCCTGGCCCTGAGAGAGGAGCAGGCAGATCCGGGGACTTCCGCGCGCCCCCGCCAAGTTAATATGCTACAAGAACCAGCTGGGCAGGGTCTGGACACGCCTTTCTGTTCGGCAGTGCACAGAGGTTTGGTTTGTTTGCTTGGTTTTTTTTTCCACCCCCCTGTCACTTTAACTACAGTGATCTCTGGTGCCCCTGAAGGCAGGTAGCACACCTGAATCATAAACTTCAGATGAGTGGAGTTCAAAGTTTTATTTTCTGCTTTTAAAGCCCTCAATAAATTAGGGCAAAGGTAGTTGGAGTCCGGCCTCCTGCCCTGGCGTTCCTCTGGGATTGGCAAGGTTGGCTGAGCCAGCCGGCTCTTGAGAAACCAGGTGTAACGAGACCTGGGAGGCGGGACTGGGGGTTGTTTGTGGAACCTTCTCCTCCTCTGTGGCATATGCCAGAGTCTCTCAGGAGCTGCACGTTTGCCACCAGAGCTGGTCGGTGCTGACCTGCCTTTGTTTTGCAAGTCACCCAACACAAAGCTTACCAGCCAAGAATTCCTGGCTTGTAGCTGAATGAGGAAGTGGACCAATTTGAATTCTGGGCAGCAGGCTTAGGACGCCTCTTCTCTGTCCTCACCACCTACCACGCACCCCGCTGTCGAGGAGACCCTGCTAGCTGACGCTCAACAGAAGCGATGCTTCAGGGGGCTCCTTAGGATTAAAGCAATATCATGTAGTCAAAACAAACATTCTCTAAGTTGAGCCTAAAGAAAGCAATTAATTCTTACTGTTCTCTGCTTCCCTCATCTTCATATTTTGTCCTGGCTCTCTAAGGTTTTTACATTTCTGACAAAATAGTTGATTCTTTTGAAGATACTTGAAAATCATGGTAAAGTGGTCGGCCTCGTGGTGAAGATGCCCATAGCCCATCTGGAATACATGGGTTCAGTTTCCAGCACCAGCTCCTGAGTCCAGCTTCCCAAAAATGCACTGGGAGCTCAGGGGGTTGAGTTCCTGTCACCCACGTGGAAGATGTGAACTGAATTTCCAGCTCCAGGCTTTGGCTCAGCCCAGTCCCTGCCGTTGTAGGTATTTGGGGAATCAACCTCTCTCTGCCTCTCATGTAAATAAGTAAACAGTTATAGTCTGGGAGAGTCAGGAACTCCTGTTTTCCCTCTGAACACTGTCTACCTGCATACCCCCTGCAGCTGTGCCAGCCAACAGGTTTGTGACGCCTGGCTGCAGAGATGATGTTTGGTGTGGTTTTCCAGGTGGTGGTAACTATCCCCAAGGAGAACTCAGAGATCCTGGGTCCTTGCAGGTATGGTCAGAGACACAGACGGACTCTCGGAGCAACAGAGGACGGTCTCATAAGGTGGCTTTGTTCCAAACCCCTGGGATGTCCCCACAGTCACACTGAAGTCCTGTTCTGGAAGCTCTGCCCACTCAAATCAGGTTCCTGAGGTCAAAAGAGAAATAGTCAAAGCCACAATAACAACAGCAGAAGTGGATGGGAGCATAAACCACAGGAAGATGGGCCGTGTGTGGACAAGCCTGCTGATTTTATTTACGTCTTCCTTCTGAGTAGACTAGAACTTAAGCGGGAAAAACCAGAGACCTTCTTCCAGGAAGAAAATGAAAGGAGAACGTGAACCACTTTCCAAAGATAAAGGAAACCTTTCCCATGCTGCCCCATCAAGGGATCTAAACCGCCTGGAATTGAGACCCAAGAGATCTGCAAGCATCGTTTGATGAGGATATCATGTTGTCAGCTCCGGGAGGTTTCAGTGAAGCTGAGAAATGGACTCAGAAATGAACTAGTAACTGTCTGAGACGTTCTCCAGTGATCTTCACGGTAACGTCGGATGCTTCCCTCCTCTGGTGATTTCCTGGTGCAAGCTCTGCATAGAGGAAAGGAATCCTTTTCATTTACTCCAATAGAGTGATCATTTGTTTATTTTTTATTTTTAAATTTATTTACTTAAGAAACAACAGAGAAAGACAAATAAAGAGAGGTAGGCAGAAGTCTGCCATCTGCTGCTCCACTCCCCAAATACCCACAACAGCCTGGGTTGGACCAGTCTGTAGCCAAGAGTGGGAAATTCAATCCCTCCCAAGTGGTGACGGAGACCCAATTACTTACACCAGCACTATTGCCTCCCGGAGCTGGAGTCAGGAGACAGAGGTGGGAATCAAACCCAGGTGTTCCCATGTAGCACGTGGGTACCTGAACTGATGTCTTCACCTCTAAGCCAAACACCTACCCTGAGTAATCGTCTTTATATTCGTTTACCTCAGTAGTCCCCAAAGCATTTTGTTGAAGAATCAAATCTATTTTTATGGGAAGAATGCAGACTTCTAGGGAACTAAAATGAAAAAGGTCCTTTGGTTGGCTAGAAAAATTTGCCCCTTTTTTCAGTCTCTAAGTGACACAGTGACCTACCTGGGTGGTAAATAGATTCAAAGTCATGGAGAACATGACCCAAAGATGATTTTTTGTTTTTACTCTTCCGTTATGCTGAGTCAACATAGAAAGTCAGCAGTACTGAGTGGCGAGGCCTTGCATGCACCCTCACTGAGCACCATGGACACCTGTCCTTACGAAAAATTAAAAATCAACTTTTAGTGTTTAAATCATGGAGCAAAAATATAATTTGTTAAATTCAACAGACCAAACTACCACTCATAGAATAAGAGCTAGCCGGCGCCGCGGCTCAATAGGCTAATCCTCCGTCTTGCGGCGCCGGCACGCTGGTTCTAGTCCCAGTCGGGGTGCCGGATTCTGTCCCGGTTGCCCCTCTTCCAGGCCAGCTCTCTGCTGTGGCCCGGGAGTGCAGTGGAGGATGGCCCAAGTGCTTGGGCCCTGCACCCGCATGGGAGACCAGGAGAAGCACTTGGCTCCTGCCATTGGATCAGCGCAGTGCGCCAGCCGCAGCGCGCTGGCTGCAATGGCCATTGGAGGGTGAACCAACGGCAAAAGAAAGACCTTTTTCTCTGTCTCTCTCTCTCACTGTCCACTCTGCCTGTAAAAAAAAAAAAAAAAAAAAAGAAGAAGAAGAAGAAGAAGAGCTAAAGGAATTGGACTGAAGGAAACTGGGGGATTCATTTAAGTTTCTGATTGTTCCTTTTCTCAAAATTCTTTGTGGCAAAGATTAAATTATGCCAAATAGCTATCAATTTAATGATGACAGTATTATCAAACTTGTTTCATTAAACACATCCCTTCTCTTAAAACTGTCTAAACAGGATTTTCCCATTTAGTACCCTATCAATCCAGAGTTACAATGATGCCATAACTTAGGAGATCCTGTTTATCAAATATTATTGTTTGTATAGTTATTAAAGTTTGGTGATTTGTACAGGGCTTTGGCAAAATTTAATAATTTATAGTATAAGAAAAGCAATTTTTAGCTGGTTTTTGTTTAAGGAGTTGTCTTTTGAAAGTACAGCATTTAAGGGGCCAATGTTTTGGCGTAGCAGTAAATGCCACCACCTGCAATGCTGGCATCTCATATGGGTGCTGGTTTATGTCCCCGTTGCTCCAGTTTTTTGCTAATCACCCAGGAAAAGATGAGAAAGATGGCTCAAGGATTTGGCCCCAGTGCCCACATGAAGCTACTGGTTCCTGGCTTCTCCCTGACCCAGCCCTGACCATTGTGGCCATCTGGGATGTGAACCAGCGGCTGAAGATCTCCTGTCTTCCCTCTCGGTAACTCTTTCAAAATAAATAAACAAATCTTTTTAATCTTTTTTAAAAGAAAGTACAGCATTTAAGCAAAACCTTTTACATTATATAGTACAGTGGTTTTCAGACTGTGTTTAACCAAGTACTCTTTTTTAAGCAAAAGGTTAAAGAGAAGTCACATAGATAAAACAGAGGTGTTGAGGAAGGGGTATTTAGTTATCTGAGCCCCAGAAAAAGCACCTTTGAGGAACACCAGAGCTCTGGGAAGTTTGAAAGCCTACAGAATATTCCAAGACTTCATAACAAGAAAGTAAATAAAAGACTGCTTGAAGATACCTTTTCCTTGCACTTGTATGTACACATGCTTGTGTTTGTGAGACATAATTTAACTAATGCTGCGGTTTCTCACCCCTCCAAAATTCATACTGAGGCCTAATTCCCAAATGTAATGGCACTGAGATGGCGAGGTCATTCCCAGAGGCAAGCCTGTCTGTAGGAGGGACGAGTGTGTTTTTGCCAGGCTGCCGTCCGTCATGTTGTGAGGCAGCCACATGGCCCTCACCAGCAGCCACCATGGCAGCTACTTGATCTTGAACTTTGCTTCTCCCACCGTGAGCTAGGAAACCTCTTTTCTTTTCACAGACCCAGCATCAGTACTCTTTTATAACAGTACAAAATGAGCTAAGACAATTAATATCTGGTTCTGTTCTTTATTACTCGCATTCTCAATAAGTGGATAGTGGATTCTGTGTCTATGAGTTTCAAATGTACAGATTTTTTAAAGATTTATTTATTTATTTGAAAGGCAGAGTTACAGAGAAGCAGAGGCAGAGAGAGAGAGAGAGAGAGAGAGAGGTGTCTTCCATCCGCTGGTTCACTCTCCAGATGGCCACAATGGCCAGAGCTGTGCTGATCCAAAGCCAGGAGCTTCTTCTAGGTCTCCCACGTGGGTGCAGGGGCCCAAGGACTTGGGCCATCTCCTACCGATTTCCCAGGCCATAGCAGAGAGCTGGATGGAAGTGGAGCAGCTGATACTCATACTGGTGCCCATATGGGATGCCAGCATTGCAGGTGGTAGCTTTACCTGATACACCACAATGGTGGCTCTAAATTTAAAAATTTTAAAAAGCACAAGGGCTGGTACTATGGCACAGAAGGTTAAAGGCTTGGCCTGCAGTGTCGGCATCCCATACGGGCACCAGTTTGGTGCCAGGTGCTCCACTTCTGTTTCAGCTCTCTGCTATGGCCTGGGAAAGCAATGGCAGATGGCCCAAGTGCTTGGGCCCCTGCACCCATGTGAGAGACCTGGAGGAAGCTCCTGGATCCTGGCTTCACATCGGCGCAGCTCTGTCCATTGCAGTCATCTGGGCAGTGAACCAGCAGATGAAAGACCTCTCTTTCTCTCTCTGCCTCTGCCTCTCTGTAGCTCTGCCTTTCAAATGAATGAATAAATC